TTCCTTTACAACATATGTCAAAAGAATATTTTCGACAGGAAGTATCTGTAAAACCAACCCAAGGATTACCTTCCTAAACCGGGGGTCTGGGGGGTATCCCCCCAGTACCGAGAATACGAATATATCTTGTATTGTACGCAAAGTAACCCATACGCGCACAGTCTTGTGGGCGGAGCCTAAAGTGTGGGGTGTATTTCAGAACAGCGCCCTATTCTATTTGAAACGCTTCGGTTCAACTTTTGGATGCATCTTACAATATCTTCCTGAACTATACTTCTTGTAGTTTGTATTGAACTGTATCGGAGAATCGTATGACTCTCTTACTCGGTCAAATCAGATGTTCCTCTCGCGTAGATCATTTACTCGAACAGAAGAAAACACTTTCGTCTTTTCAACTCGAACAACCATTTGCCATTTTTCAAATTGTTTTGCCTCTTTAACTCTCTTATCTTTCTCATTTTTTGTTGGCTTTTGTGATGTTCAGCTCATAGAAAGTGATTTTGTGAAGTTAGGAAGAGGTTTGTTCAAGCAACTCTGCTGATTGACTCAAGCTCAAACTACTTCTCTTGTGTTGCTAATTATAATCAAGAAAGTGTGATAGAGAGATATATGATGGAATAAAGAGAGGGAGAGAGAAAAAGAGTGGCGTACAGAGAGAGAGAATGAAAAAACTGAAGAATGATGAAGTTTTGCGTTGCCCCCGCGTTGCTCAATTTGCAGCAGCAGCCCACAGCTTGTTCTTATTCTTATGGAATTATACATATCTGTTTCTTCTCTCTTATTTCCACATATTTTAATACACACAAAGAAATATGGGAAGAGAACATGAAAGAAGAAGAAGAAGAGTGGAGGTTTGACAACGACGAGAGGCGGATGGATGGTCAGTCAGTGAGTCGTTCGCCTCTTGCAGTTCCCTTGATCTTTTTTCTCTAACCACAATCATTGGCTGGTTTTAAATGCTGAAATATCAGTTAGTGATGAGAGTGTTGTCGTCAGGGATTCAGACAATCATACAGATGCAAAAAGAACATGCATTCCTATCCTTATACGGACAAGGTATGCTGAAGACCTATCTCTCTCTCTCTTTCTCTCTCTCTCACCATAACTTTGTCTTTTCTCTTTCATCATCATCTTCTTCTTTCTTGCTTTGCCCCCGTATCACTTACGGACTGTGTTGGTGGGGATCGACAACCGGTTACCGGTTCTCATTCCACCCTTCCTCACACTATCTTCTCCCCCCCCCTCTTTCCAACCATCCCTAACCCTATCTCTACGATATCACCTTTGTCGTCGTTGGTTTTCCTTGTCTTCTACCCTTTTCTTTCGTCTTCATCGTTGTCGTTGTCGTCTTCTTCTTCGTCATCCGCTCTTCGTTCATCATCTTTCCTTCTCCATCTTGATATGATCTCACTCTTCATCATCACCATCGCCACAACCCCCTTACGACTACCACACATAACCGCCAGCAGCTGCTAAATAATCCGACAGCATTCCGTAGATGACAGCCAACCACAAATTGATCAGTTTTTTGATATTTTTATCTTTTTGCCCCATTTGAACGGTTATGTTTATCATTTTTGGTAGAGACGTTTGCATTTTTCGACATGAACCTCGTGTGATGTGTTGACATACACACATGGAAGCCAAGGGATTGCCCCATTCATAGTGTAACGGAGGAGTTTCCTTCTTTTTCCATTCATTCCCTCCCTCCCTCTCTCTCTCTCTCTTCATATTTCTCTTTTCCTCTGCCATTTTTTGTCTTTCATCAATGACCTTCTTTACCTGTTTTTCATTTTAATCAGAAAGCTGCAAAATGACAGCTTGAAGCACGATTTAATCTAGATCAGAGACAGCAATATGTAATCACGCCAACAACAGGCAAAGAAAAAAAAAAGTTCATTTTGTGATTCTTGACTCTTCCTCGTACTCCTGAACGTTGGTAACAGTACTTGACTTCTTCTTCTCTTGGATGTTTCTGAATATTAAAAATGTGCTTTCGTGTTGTTTCTCCTCTTCACACTTCTCTACCTGTACTTCTCATATCGTTGTTTGATTATGATTTTCCTTGCTATTTTTCATTTTGATGTGGTCATTCATGCATTGTGGAGAGAAGGGAGGGTATGAGACTGATTGTTCGAAGAAGAAGGTGCAATGATAATTCATTTGCTCAATTCGCATATGTTTATGTCAAAAAGAAAATTTTTTTGACGTACAGATGACGATGACGACGTCAACAGATTAGAAGCATTCCTTTTACTGAATACAATAGAAAACTGTTCTTATCAAACGATAAGGAGTATTCATACACACATTCCTTTTTCTCTTTCAATCTTCTTTTTAATTTTTTTTTTCTTTTTTTTTATATAAAACTATTACTTTTCATATATATTTCTTTTTATATGATTTGTCATCAGCATCTGGCTCTTCTCAGCTTTTCATTTCACCCATTCTACCTCTCTCTCTCTCTCTCTCTCTCTCTTCTTCCTTATATGCACTGAATGGCTTTTGTGCATTCTGCCTACCTGCATACCTGCCTGCTTGCTTGCTGTATCGGCCATTCTTCAACCATTAGTCTCATCGTCCTTTCGCCTTCCTTCATTTCCAAATGAAATTTTCATTTTTTCAGAGATTTTTAAGTTTTTATCAGTTTTTTTGTTATCTTATGTTCTGTTTGTTTGTGTGAAATCTTTTGTACTTTCATTCTTGGATAACCCCCCCCCCACCTCTCCCCCCCCCCTCTCTCTCTCTCTCTCATCCTCTGCCACCTCCATCCTCCCCCTTTCTCTCTCTTTCAAATCATCTTTTGTCTTTTCAACCTTATGATCACTCTCTTCTTGTGTCTCTTTCTCTCCGAGTTGTTTATTTCTTCTTCTTCTCCCTCTCTCTCAGTCTCTCCCCCCTCTCTCTCTCTCTTTCTATCTAATTACCTTGTATGGGAATTGTCTATGAAAACCAAAAAAAGTCATTCAAAGAGCATTTGATCTTCTATTGTATTCGATTGATTTTCTGTGTTATCTGGAAAAAGATAAGAAATCTGTTAGAAAATCAGCTAAAATTCCTTTAGAATTGAATTATTTTGACTTTAATTAAGCGAATGAACGGGGAAGAAAAGTTTTTTTTTTTTCGAATGTGTTTTGTAACTTTTTTGTTTCGTCTGTATAAGGAAAGGTGTGTGTAGAGGGAGAGGCAGAGGAAGCAGAGAGGAGTGAGAAGGGTAAGAGAAGGTAAGGAAGGTAAGGAAGGTGGTTGTTTGTTGGATAAGATCATGTGTCTTATGATTACTTTTGTCTTTTTTTTGTTTCCTTCATGGGAAAGTTGAAGGAATGATAGTTAGGAGAGTATAGAAGGAAGGCATTGGAATTTACTACTCATTAACAGAGAAAAGAGATAGAGAGAGGGAGGGTCAAGAGATAGAGAGAGAGAGGGACAGCGAGAGAGAGAAAGAGAGAGAGAGGGGGAAGGGTAAAGTGTAATATTATTACAATCACCAACAAATATGAAAAATGCATGAAAGTACCATTGCAATTCGCAGTTTTTATTCTCCAACTTATGTTTCTTTCCCAGTCACCTATGTGTATGTGTCTGTCTCCCTCTCACTCTCCTCTCTTTCTCTCTCTGTCCCTCGTCCCTCCGATTTTTCATTTTTCTTATTCTTTTTTATGATTAAAAAAACATTTAATGTGAAAATGCTTCTTTTTTCCATCAAAAATTCCAAAGCTGAATAGTTTGATGGCTCATTGCCGTTGTCTCATGACCGTCGTCATCATGAGTTGTAGAGGAAACATTGCAGGAATTGTTTGTAATTCCATCTCTCTCTTACTCTCTCTCTCTCTCTCTTTCTCTCTTTCAACAAATTCCTTCTTATTTTATGCAAATTTGTTTATTTTATTCATTAATCATCGCTTAAACTTGTGAGCAAACTTTTAAAGAATTTGAAACTTTGATTTCAACAGTTCCTAAGCAGTTGTTGGTTGTTCATGCTTGTTATTGAATTCTCTCTCTCTCTCTCTATCTACGTTTACATGAAGACAGTGTTCTTCCTCTTTTACATGATATGCTTGTTTCGACATCCATTTATTGACTTTATCTGTTTCTAGTGGAAGATTGAATGCGCAGGTAATGGAATCGCCCTGCTCGACGCCGAGCTCCAGTCGGTCGCGCGGCGTCACCAACGACGGTGCAGCTTCATCGAGACTTCCACATCATCTTCAGCAGCCATCTTCTAGCACTTCAGGTAACTATTGCATTACATTTTCATGAATAAATGAGCAAACAAATACACTTTGATGTGACTATCTTTGATAATGAAATGATAATTTGATCATTTAGTTTGATAGGAACATTCCTTATATCGTCATTTACTATATTATTTATGCGATAATTTGAAGTTCTGTTTGTATTAGCCATGAACAATTGAACTCAAAAACTGATTCTTATCTGTGAAATTTGCATTTATTAGCTTGTTCCTTTGATGCAGAGGGATTCATTCTTAATCATCGAAATATTTCATTAATTGACAGTATAAACGAAATATAATTACCATTATCATGACCTTTACTTTACAAGATGTTCATTTACAGTTTTTTCTTTTTTTTACAACATTTTCTCTGATAATCGTTATCTCCTACTGTTTTCTTTATTGCAGGTCCTGCTGAACACTCAAGTTCAGAGCATAACATACGACCTGGTCAGCCATATGTCACTGTACAAACGCTGAATAAAGAAAATCTTGTTATTGTAGTTAATGTAAGTTCATTTCACATTCTTCTTCATTATCACACTTGAGCTTCATTCTAATTTTTTGCGCGTGAGAATACGTGAAATCACGTGTGCGTGGCATATGATAACGAATTTCATTCTTAATTGTGTAGGCGTGGAGAGCGGTTGTGATAAAAACGATTTTACAGCTTTATACTGAATCTGTGCCAAATTTTTCATTTTAACTTCTCTTTTTTAAGCAAAAAACCCGTGTTCATGACATTCTTTGGAAATGTGGTGAAATTCTCGAAATAACAGAAGACAAACTTTTCGGATTAGCGTTACGACAACCAACGGATGGCATTGGTAATTGATGAAAGGGGAAAAGCAATGTAACAGTATGTTTTCAGGAGGTGATCAACCCAGGCATGAGTATTTTTTTCTGGACCCCGCTCAGAAAATTTTCAAATATGCCCCTAAACAGCCGAGGTTTTCAAATTGGGTTAGTTTACAGACATGTATGACACCTTCTAACTTCATTCCTATTACAGCATAATCGAAGTACAGAAAATCGTCCTTTACTAGTTCTGTATTTTCGAGTTCGTGTATATATAGAGCAAGTACGGTTAATTACGTGAGTTGATTGAATTCTTTTTGAAAATTAATTTGAAAAGTGATAGTGAATGGAATGATTATCATGTCTTTGTATCATTTATCTCTTTCAAAAGGAGATTCGAGCAAATCACCTCAAATTATTGTCTTTCGTTTGGAAACAATGCGATAACTGGAATCGTGTTGAAATTCCATATTCATCTCTTTCCATTTTGTCTCGTTTGAGAACTTTCTCCTCAATTCCCCCATGGTCAACATGTTCTGATATATTTCTCTCGTATCATCTTCCACTTTTATTGTTTTGGAAATAGTATGATTATGAAAAGATAGAAATTATCTCTTTCATGACATCACTTCTCAAGCTTCATCAGTTTTTTGGAAAAAAAGTTTTATACAATCTAGGTTTAGATGTAACTTGAATGAAAACTTGCAATCCATCCAACAACTGCTTATTTCCTCTCTTTCAGATGTTCAAGAGCATTAGAACATTACTATTTGCAATTAAAAGATAATTTTTTGGACCAATGGTCTGGACGACAGAGCGTATCGGAAGGGCGATGTTGGGAAATGGCGTCTCTGGCGTTAAGAGCCGATAAAGGAGATAACCCAGGAGGGTATGTCCTATAGTCTATAATCTCCAGTAAACCTTATTATTTCCAGCTTTTTTCGTGCCGAACAGTATTTTCCTATGTGGGTAATAGACTTGCGAGGATTAGAGTACGTACGTAAACATATGCCAACAGCTTTTGATGATCTCAAAGACCTCTCTAAAAAAGATGCCATGACCCAGTTTTGCCTAGAAGCTTGTCGGTAAGTTGAAGCAAAGAATTCTATTGAATCAGTTTTTCTTAATTCGTCCTCTTCCAGTTCCCCCTTTGCCTTAAACTGCCATTTGTATGCTTTGCGACGGCACAAGATGGATAGTGTTGATAATGCTGTCCTTGGTATAAATGCTAAGTGAGTCAGATGATCTATTGACATCACTAACTGATGAATATTTCAGAGGAATTGAAATGTGTGATATTGGTAAAGACTTTGAACGGATTCCCCTCAGATCGCTTTCTTGGAATCGAGTAATACGATTATCTTTCGACAGAAAGAAATTAACAATTGTTGGAGCTGATGGAACCAAGATGTCCTTATATGCTCAAAGCGAGCATAAGGCTAGGTAGGAGCAGAAGCTATGTAGCATATTTTATTCATCATTTCCTAGGTATTTATTGGAACTCTGTCGAGCTGTTCATCAGACGTTACTTGTGTTTTCTCATCAGACAGCTCGAAGTGCTCCGTTGCCTCAGCCATTTTTAGAGAAAAGTGTCGATAGGCTTTCAGCTTCTTCCACTTTAGGCGTAGTTTCAAATGAAAATGGTAATCGTTAAATCAGTTTCTCGTTATATTTCCAATTTTTCAGACACTGACTCTGTCGTGCATGATTCAATGAGTAGTAGTTGTGATAGAGGACAAGGTTCCGTTAATTCAAAACATCGTATACGAGTGAAACTCGATTCCAACCTAGACCTGAAGATTGAAAAAATGGAACTCGAAAGTGATTTTTCTACTTGTGATAATTGTATTGACCCAAAATTTTAGATATTCGACAAGAGAGGGCAGCTAGTCAGTCATCGAAGAATTCTGAACCAAGTGAACATCGAATTCAAGACCATCGAGTTGTTTCTGATGAAGATCTGCAACATGCTATTTCTCCTTTCGATTCAAATCATATAGTCAGTGCGAACGTTTCCACATCTGAAACAACAACAGCCTGGTAACTTGTACTTTCTGAAATTAATTTCATATTTCTCAATTTAAGTCGACCGTCTTCTGTTGATTCCGCTTCTCAAACAGTAGAAACAGGAAGTCGCATTGCTGCTGTTGATTTCAACTTCAATAATAAGTTGGACTTAGAACAGGAAGCGTTTCCAACATGGAACACTTTCTCCCATATTCAACCTGAGCCACAATACGCTAGCTCAGCTGGCTCTCGGAGTGATTCTGTTCATGAGATGATTCCTGAATCCAACAGTTTCCATCATCATGAAAAATGTTCAACGGCTTCAGAAGATGATGTAGACACAACGATACGATCGAACATGACTGGAACATCCCTATCCCTGTCAGATCTCAGAAGTGCTGGTTATATTGAGCCTCCTACTAAATACTTAGATAGTCCGCAAGACCATCATAACAATAGGTATGAATAGTTCCTTGAATCTCTTTTATAATGCTTATTCAGGGCTGCGTCACCCGGTACCAAGCAACGTTGGACTACTGTAGGAGGCACTCCTTGCTTACCGCAATCAATTAATAGCCTAGGAACTTCTGGACAAGCAAGAAGCGAGCCTAAAATTGATTCTGAGGTTTGAGTCTCTCAATATATAATAATCAGTACTCATATTACAGTTATGGGCACCAACCACACAAGTTGCACTTAGTTCGCCCGGACCATCTAATGGCCGTCTCTTCACCAAACGTGGTAACTCAGGAGCTAGCCGGCTAGCGCCCAGCATCAGCCGGGTTCATTCCATGCCAGCACATTACCATATCATCAATGGATATTCTCGAAACGTAAGCAATGAAGCGATATGTTCTTATCTATTGTGGTTTTTTTCAGACTCCAAATGACGACTTCCCAACATCCACAAGTCTTCAACACGTTCAGTCACTCAATGGAGCTCGACCTCCCACGAAGTCTCGTGATCCACCTCCGTATGTTCCACATGTGAAGACGTTATCAGTTTCGGCAGCCAAGTGAGCTCATAATAGAAAGCTTCAATGAAATGAAAAATGTTTGCAGTGTATTGAATGGACAAACTCCATCAGGACCTCTTACTGCTGAAACAGCCGCCGGACAGCAAGCAGCTTTTCCACCAGCTTCAGCGACTTCTTCCATGTTTACCAGCTCCGAAGAAGAGTATTTCATCGACTCAGTGAGTGTTGTCAGATTTGACATTTTGAACCGAATAATCATTTCAGACGGTTCTCTCGGCCAATCAATTACAGAACTTCCCGATGCTTCAAAAGCTTGTCCGTGAGTCTAATGGGATGCTCAGTCATCAACGGAGACCATCAAGCTGTACTGATTTGTCAAGTTAGAACTAAACTCAGGACAAACTCTTACTTCTTTGCTATTTCAGCTATGTTCACAAATAGCGTACAACGCGGTGATTATTTTGTCGATTCTTCTGTGCCACTTGCTTCCTATGGAATTCCTCGATATCACAGATCCGAGAAGTGAGTTGTCTCTTTCATCATGCTCGAAATACTCTGTCTGTTTTGTATTGTAATCGTAATCTGTTTCAGCTACGAGATTCGACCTACAAGTGCTGTGGCTCTTCCTCCACCTCCGCCATATCCAGCCAATAGGAAAGCTCTGGTTATGTAAAACGTTCTTCTGATGGATCTACCGCTCGTCGAACGATGAATTTTCATGAATCTCTCATTCAAATTCCTCAAAGATAGTGAAGATTATTTGAAGATTTGGTTATTTCACCTCATGTCACACATCTCAAATTCCTTGTGCTATGTATTCGTTCTTTACATTGTTTTTTTACTTCAGATATTATTGCATGTCTTGCCTTATAGAGAATTTGTTCTCTTTCTTTCTTTGTTTATTTCCCTGCTCACGGCTCTTGGACTACATTCTTCTACTTACATATTGTCATATCCTCATCAAAGGAAAAAAATGTTTTATTGACTGTTGAGAAGTAAAGCCTTTTTATTTCTAATTGCTCTGAAAACGAACTTGAACTCTTTAGTAACGTCATCTCCCTACCTTGATATTCGGTTACACTCAAACTGAACCAAATACTAAAAGTTATAGATATTCTTGATCGTCTTCAAAATCATATCTTCAATCAACCAACGTCTTCCACATTTATGCAAATTCATAATAAGATTCGTGTCTGGGCAGACAGAGATTCTGGAGTATTGCCAGAATAGTCATCGTGTACTTAAAAACATATGCGTAATCACAGAAACATTTTAATTGACACGTAAACAATTATCAGACGTCAGACAAAAAATACAACTTCACCTATGAAGCTGGCTCATAATGCAACCATTCTGGACGAAAAAAAGTTGAAATTCAAGCGTTCTGTGCGTCTAAAAATGAAACCCAACAAGTAGTTTAGAGAATTTTTAGAATGTGAGACGAACCTTTTCAGTTATAAGTTGAACATCTGTTATGGAAAAGGTTGAGAGAGCAAGACAGAAGAACCCCACCAGCTCACACCATGAACTGAATCTATTATGAAGAAGCGTATTCCGCTCGAATCGGTGGCAAGTTACGTGAGTTTTCATTTTCACGAGTTCAAGAAATTGACTCGGTCGTTCCTAGCATCTAATATTTCATAACTATTCTCACCTTTATTAGCTTGCCTCTTCTGTGATATTTCGAAATTGTAGTAGTAGATAATATAACTTAAAATTGATGGAGTTATTGTTTTTCTATTTTGTTTTTCGTTCACGTATAACTGTTGATGTTCAGCTCATGTGTTGCTTTATGGGTAGTTGTATGTCAGCCTTGTAAGATCATATAGTCAGCCGACCTCATCATCTATATAAAATATAATTGGGATAGTACGGTTCCTATTAATGAAGTTCAGATCCCTTTCTCGTCTAGGTGGTAGGCTGACCATTTTATGATTTGATCTGATCAAGCAAGTTAAGGATGCGTTGTAGTGACGACAATCAGAAGAGTAAGTTGTAGTCATTAAAGACTGTTTAGTAATGTTGCCCACTGGTTTTCAGATATTTTTCGACTTCGAGGTTCTATTCTATAATATAGCTCACTGGAACACTATTCGCATACAGCAGGTGGTTTGATTGTTAGATATTTTCGTTCTAATAATGTACATCTTCTCTTTTTTTCTCTTCTTGCTTATAACGGTACAAACTAAACTGACACTCTTCTCATGGTTTCTAATACACGGTCATGACTTGATGTAAGGGATATCATTTATCTTTGTATGACTGATGCTTACCTAGAAGTGGATTCACTTAGCTCTGTATCACAATTGGAATACAACCGCACATTATACTTTCATGTGCCAGTGCCTACTCTAAAGGTCTGTTCACTAGTTTAGGAGTATTAAGTACATTCAATCAATCCAGGTTGGCGTGTTTTTTCATACTTATAATTGTTTGGATTCGGTTTATTGCTTCCAGCGAATGCATCATTTTCGCTTCTACTTGTGATCCATTGTACCTTTGCAGTGACAACGAAAAACTCCGAAAAGAAGAAAATAGCTTTTCTAAGATTATCCTCTATCCAGTTTGTTTTGCAAATGGTCTGTCTGCCGATAGTTGGATCGAACTTGAAAGATGCGGGCAAGTAAGGACGGCAACACTGCAAAGAGGTATGACTACTTTCATTCTTCATCGAGAATATTTATTGAAGAAAATAGCGGTAAACGTGAACTATGTGCACGTGTCAGTGTCGTCCGTTCGAGACATCATAGCTTTGTTGAAGCTGTAAGGTCGTACTTCTTCACAATACTAATCATCCTGAAATTGAAGGAAACATTGAGAGATGAGAAAGGCTGGTGTTCCTTTTTTGATGGCATTGATCAGGAATCTAAGAATCTTTATTTCTTGAGCTTCTGCTCATGAAGAAGATGTTTCAGATCGATCTTTGGTTATGGTTAGAAGGCCCCTATCTTTATGTCACTCGTTTTCCCTCGACTTGAGGCTTGTCTCTTCAGCAAGTGAAGCAACCCTAAAGGTTATCGTCAGGTATCGGTTCAGAGCATTATAAGTTATTTGATCTCACTCCTACATCTACAGACTACCAACAGCTAATTGCAACATCCATTTGTTTCCACCACCGGCCAATATTGGTTCAAAGACGTATGGGAAATGAGCTTGTTAAACCCAGATAATGATTCTTTATAGTTTGCTGAATATGGAACGCTCCAACTCGATCCCTACTTGGAACTCTTGCTGCGTCAACGCTCGCGGAACAGCAAGAACATTTCCATTTCCATCAGCTTCACGAACTTCTACCATGTTTACTAGTTCCGAGGATCGTTTCAATGAGGAAAGCATTTCTTTGGAACTACAATAGTTGCACATTCCTAAGATTCAACTATTGTAGTTCCAAATGAATGTTTTCCTTTTTGGGAAAGATATACCTGTGCTGCTCTTGGGAGGACTCGCATTGTGATTGAATGAAAAGCGCTAGCTTCTTCAATGATTTTCATGTTTTTTATTATGTCCTTCTTGTTTTCATGTGTATCTTATAAACCTTTGTGAAAGATGTTGTTCTCAGAGACTGCTATGGTTGTCACCCATCATCTACTTCCCAGAACTGTTTTCGTTCCCTTTGGAGTAATCGTTTCATGCTTCAGGAAGAAACTTGCAGTTGTTCATAACCAATGTCTGATAGTCGCACAAACTTTGTTCGAGTTCGACGTTCTGAGGCAATGGCATATTCCTTATTAGTTAGGTAAGTATCGTCTAAGAAGGTTCTCTACAGTATCTGATTATTCCATATTCCGAAGAGACTACGGAAGCTGTCGGTTTCGTTGCGTTTGAGGCTTCATTGGACAACTGCGAACCTTCAAGA